ATGAAGTATTTGCCCTTCAGAGCTTAATATTCAATTTAAAGACTTTAAAGAAAACAAACAATGAGCAAATGAGTTTAATAAACACTGAAAAATGTTTTACTTACCAAATATATACAAAATAAAAATATTTGACATTTAATTTATATCTTTTTTAATATCAATTTCTTTTCAAAAGTGTAAAATTTAATATTGCATCTCAGTGTCAAAAAATGCTTCTAAATGCTTCTCAAAGTTGTGTGGTGCAGCAATATTTAGCCGACTCTAATTTTGTGTGATTTGGTCTTTCCTGCTTTCCTGCTATTACTGTTGCATGGTTAAGATGTTTGCATGCCTGTTAACATTAGTTAATGTAATTTAAGTTAAAATTAACTAACAACTGACCCAGCCGAGGCTCGAACAAGCGACCTTCTTGCTGTGAGGCAACAGCGTTACCTACTGCTCCACCGCGTTACCTACAGTATATATATATATATATATATATATATATATATATATATATATATATATATATATATATATATATATATATATATATATGTATATATATATATATATATACGCACACACACACACACACACACACACACACACACACACACACACACACACACACACACACACACACACACACACACACATGTTTGTGTGCAACAATGTACCAAAATTCAAGCTTGTATAAATTAAGGCTTGGTTTCCTAGGTAAATTATTTTTGTTGCTGATTTTTGAATTTACAAATCAAAATATTTATTATTATATATTATAATTATGTCAAACCTACTCAATCTTCTGGTACCAGTTTGTTGTTAGGTGTAGTACCTTGCGATTTTACAGTTGCCAGAGTTTTTTTTTTTTAAATGACATGATTGTACTCAGAAAAGCACTGCTTTTTAAAACTTTTACAAGAAATCTACTGTATTGTTTACTTAAATATGTTTTTAATAAAGCATAAATTTTTAATTGATGGCCTAATTGCTACAATAACAAACTAAAACTAATCTTAAAATTTCCACTCAGTTTTAATTGCTTCCGGAACGGAAAAAATACTCCCCCTCAAACTGTTACTGGATCCATGTTTTTCTATACTTCTTTAATAGAAAGCAGAGCTTGGTATGTCGTCTTGAAAGGTCTGCTGGAATCACTCTACTCTCTTGCATCAGTGTAGTGCACTCTATGCCACTGCAGCTAAGAGGAAGTGACACTGTCTTCACAGGTATCATTTTGAGCTCTGAGTGTGCACATGGCAACTATCAAACCATCACACAGAAAATAAATGTTAAAACGAAGGCTTAAACAAGCTGTCACGCTGAGTCCTGCAGCTGAGTGAGATAAAGCAGGGCATGAAAGCCCGTCTCAGCCTTCACAATGTTCTTTTCTCAGATGGCAGAATCAAAACACTTAGGACCTGCCTCCAGTGACACACTTCAGGTGGTCTTCTGGTCTTACAGCTTTCATTTGCGTGTGCCCATGACGTCTAAGACTGTAGGAGGCCTCCTTTGACTTTCAGTTATTCCGAATTGGATAGATAAAGAGGTGGATTCACCGATGGAAAGATAAAAACTTACACAGACAGACAGAAAGACAGACAGACAGACAGACAGACAGATATATAGATAGATAGATAGATAGATAGATAGATAGATAGATAGATAGATAGATAGATAGATGATAGATAGATAGATAGATAGATAGATAGATAGATAGATAGATAGATAGATAGATAGATAGATAGATAGATAGATAGATAGATAGATAGATAGATAGATAGATAGATAGATAGATAGATAGATAGAAATTATTAATTAAAGAATGAACAAATGAATGAAAGAATTCAAACAAACTAATGAATAAATAACTCATGACCAAATTAACGAGACAGACAGACAGACACTACTGTCTACCACAGTGACCCCTTGTTTTTATGTGTGTTTATATGTTATATAGCATGTTCTGAAATGTTTACTTTTTTTCTTACATTGTTTATTTAACTTTAAATTATTATGATATGTTGTTTCTATTATTTTATTTTAACATTTTATTGTAATATTATATTTGTCCTCCTGTTTCAAGCTTTTGCAATATAGTGTCATTTACAGTCATGCCAATGAAACAATTTTGAATTGAATTGAAATAAATTGAGGTGGATTCACGGATAGAAAGATATATACACAGACAGACAGACAGACAGACAGACAGACAGACAGACAGACAGACAGACAGACAGACAGACAGACAGACAGACAGACAGACAGACAGACAGACAGACAGACAGACAGACAGACAGACAGACAGACAGATAGATAGATAGATAGATAGATAGATAGATAGATAGATAGATAGATAGATAGATAGATAGATAGATAGATAGATAGACAAATGAATAGATAGACAAATGAATAAATAGACAAAACAAACAATTGAATGAACAAATGAATGGACACTATATAGATATATAAATAGACAGAGAGACAAACAGACAGATTTAACTAATTAGCAAATGAAGAAATAAATGAATGAACAAACTAATGAAAGAACAAACAAATGAATAAAAGAATGAACAAATTAATGGATGATTGAAAGAACAATCAAATGAAAAAAAGTACAACAAATGAATAAAAAAATGAACAAATTAAAAATTAACCAATGACAGATAGACAGACAGATGACAAACTGACCGACTGACAGACATACAGATCTGTCTAGATCAGAGATGCCCAAATTAGGGCCCGCGGGGCAAAGATTGCCCATTGTAACCTTTGATTTGGCCCACCATCGCATTTGGGAGTATTAGGGAGTATGAGTGGGGGATGGGGCGAATGACTATAACACAGGGATCGTCATTTCTAATTTGACGTAATCTTTTTTGTTTTATTGCTGAGCTACAAAAAAGCAAATTAAAATTAAATGTTTCAATTAAATGTTGTAAATTAATCAGAATTTTTAAAAATGTAAATACTGTCACTCGACTAGTGTAATTCTGTTATAAATTAGATTGTTTTGTTTTTATTGTATTAAGTTCATTATAATATATATAACCATGCGGGGTCGGCTCTTTGGAACAAGTCCTCCATTTAGACTTGTCTATATGATAACGACTTTTTTTTACACATTCCGACCAGCCTGTCACCCTCATACACTACAGACAATTTAGCCTACCCAAATCACCTGCAGCATGTCTTTGGACTGTGGGGGAAACCGGAGCACCTGGAGGAAACCCACACGAATGCAGGGAGAACATGCAAACTCCTCACAGAAATGAAAACTGAGCCGAGGTTCGAACCAGCGACCCAGCGACCTTCTTGCTGTGAAGCGACAGCGCTACCTATTGCGCCACTGCTTCACCCATATTTATATTTATAAGCAAGGTTTACCCATGGAAAATTACCCAACCTATTTTTACCTTCAGCACACTAGCCTCAATCAACTTTGGTTTTTGGCCCTTCATAAGAAAAAGTTTTGGCACTCCTGGTCAAGATAGATGATAGACGATAGGTTTTTTTTTTTTCTGCTTTTGTCTGTAGGACTAGGGTTTATGCCTACCATCCAAAGCTTTTTGTTTAGTTTTGTTTTATTGGTGTTGAAAGTAACTGAGATCATTCAGCGTAATGATTGTAATGCAGGCAAAGCCTGTCTGCAACTACTTTAGCTGTGCAGTTTGCAAAAAGCAATTGCACAGTTTTAAATGCTCATCAGCCAATCAGAAACTAGAATTGAACAACCCCATGGTGTAGTCAAATATGTTAGGCTCACCAACAGCTCCAGTTCAGTTATTAACCTGACGAAATGTCAGCTTGTCTGTAAGTGTGCTGACAGAAGTGAGTGCATCTATCTTGCAGAGTTTGCTTGGACAAAGAAAAAAAAAAAAAAAAACAACAACAACAAAAAATCGAAATCCAGATATCAAAGTAAGTGAAGAGCTGGCTGCTCTCAATCAGGAATCTTCTGGAAGAGGTGTGCTGGTGGTCTCAGCAATGGAAATTGGAAATCAACGTGAACAAAATCCATCTGTCTGTTACCCTCATTCGCCCATCGATTAGTAGTTCTGGGAATCTACTGAGCTCCATAATCAAAATACTGATAGACAATTCTCCCTCTGAGGCACCAAATGGTGATGCGTTAAATTCTTATGAAACTTTACCTAATAATGAGGTAATAAATAAATAAGCAATAAATTATGTGATGACCTTTAGCACAACATTTGGTATATTACCAAGAGAACAAAACTTTAAGTCAACACACATGAGGTTTTAGGTCATGAACAGCCTTTTTTAATTATATTCTGAAACAGGTACGATGACCTTTTATGTGTCAAACATTATTAGTTCATGACCCCTTTAATAGATAAACATGTGTTTTACAGACATCAAGACTTCAACTCTGCCAACAATATGAATTTCCCCTCACTGTCTCCTGCCACTGTCCTCTCAACATTTCAATGCCGTTTCCAAGGAGACTAAAGAGCATTGGGATTCTGCTGTGGAACGCAGACACGTGATTGGTGGAGAGAAAAGAGTAGATTCATAGCAAATGAAAAGCAGTGAACTGACACCTCTGATCTCAAACTTGAGCATTTATAATTTATTCCTAATCTCTGACCTTACGCTAGATGGAGTGCACAGAGTGGTTATTTGATATAGTAATCAAGTCTCTAAACCACAATGCGTTGGTAAACAGCACAGTGACTTGTTCAGGCAACTTCTAGTCTTGTCAAACATGAATGAAGTCTTGAAATTGTACGTCTCTATAAATGCAAACGCATTTTGTGAAGACTCGTGGGTCTCTTCATACAGTTTGTTGTGAGGAGTCAAGAAGGGAAAACAACACTTTAGCCCACATACAGAGCACAGTCAAAAGAGATAACAGGAACGTTCACATTCAAACACATGCAATGAAAAGAGAAGCACGACTGCACAAAAGCAGATACACAGCCGCCTCGGCTCGTATAAACTCTGCAAGCATGATTCATCACTGTGCCAATAAGAAAACACTTTCTTTTCCTTACCCATGAACTCAATGCCCAAGTGATCCACTACTCCAGCGAAGATAGAAGAGGGCAGCGATGAAGCAGGAGGAGGAAAGAGAGAGAATAGGAACATGTAAGTAACACTCATTGTTGTATTCTATTCTCACAGCAAATACAATTATACCTGTGGGTTACTATTTTGAAAAAACTATTTACGTAATAATCTTGAGATAGTCATTTGGGTGTACATCCTGGTCCTAATATTATGTAGAGATACGGATTGGATGAAATGTTCCTTTCATGTAAACATTTCCAAAGCAAGCAAACAAACAAACAAACAAACAAAACTTTCATGTGTAATTGTGAATCATTGGCAGGAGTTAATTCCTAAACTACTCAGAATTAGTTCCAAACAAAGTAGTTTTGTCACATAATTTGCAATCTGACAGAAACAAATGAAAATAAATAAATATATATTACAAAAGCAAAATGACAAGTTTAAATGTAAATATATGTTGACTTTTTATATTGAATTAAAATAAGTTATTATTATTAATATTATTATTAATATTATTATTGTCATTAAGTTTAAATGTAAGTTTAAATCTTGTAAAATTAGTGTGGATAGAATAAATTAGAATAAATGTACTTAGAATAAATAAATGTTAGAGTGAGTGAGCTCTATTTTAACGATCTAGGCACAAAGTCTAAAACACATTGCGCAAAAGCAGGGGGGGGGGGTGTTCGAATCCACTTTTTTGCTATTTTGTAGGATGGAACAATATGGTTTGTGCAGCAACACATGGTCTAACAGGGTTGTGCTTATTCTCTTAATGAGTTTTGGGTGTGTTTTGAGCATAACATGCATTAAACCAATCAGAGTCTCATCTCCCATTACCGTTAAGGGTCAGTTGCATCACACCATAGCACATTTGCTATTTACATGGCAGACTTTGAAAGTGGAAAAACTAAACGCTGCACTAGTAAAAGATCAGTTAAACAAATACTGGAGCACAAGGACACATAATGAGCCTCCTCCATACTGCCTCTTACACTTTACTTTACTTTTACTCTTTACTCCTTTACTTTCGTGGATGAGGAAACGGGGTTGTACACACTCCACTGAAGAGATTCATTAGCCTACATATTTAATTTAATTTGTTAAGTGCAAAGATTTGTTTCAAAAATTATTTCTAAATTCAGCAAACGAAGAAATTAACAATAATAACGATAAGTTATATTCAAACACACGTCCTAGGTTGCGCTGGTTTAAAATAGCAACAAATCGTGCTAAACACATTTTGCACCTTATTGCGCCAGGTGTATGATAGGGCCCAGAGTATGTTAAACACAGAAATCAAATAATACTTTCACAACAACAACAACAGCTGTATAGGCATTTAAAATTATTTCTTGACACATAATAGAATAGTTTTAGCCTAAATAATTAAGCATGTTCATCTTTTTTTAATAAAAAGCAAGACATACACTAAAATGAAATGATGAAAGTTGTAATTATCAGACAAATCTTAGCAGTTAATATCAGTTAATTATCAGTTGTTAGCTGATATTTTAAATACCAATTTCTTCATATTTTTACCTCTGCCTCGGCATATTCCTTAATGTTTCCTGTAAATTAAACCTCAGCAACACATCTTCATTTTTCATTCCAAAAAATTCCCAAGAGCTGAGCAAATGGAAACTTTGCTCCTTCAGGTAAGCTCTGTCACAGATTTAGAGGTGTGTGACATTTATTTTTGCCTCTCTTTAATGCAGTGGAGTAAACAGCATGAAGTCAAAGCACAAGAATGTATCTCCTGTGGATCTGAGAAAGCGTTGACAGCAGTTGGATAAGAAGCGAAGCTCTCACACAATGAAAAATAAAGACATCATTTCTGTTTTCTTTGGTCAGAACTCGTAAGATTTTAGTTCATTTCTTATTTATGGTAACGTCTCTTTCTCCTTCTTCAAATGCCTTCAAATTGGGCTAATTTGACTTTCACGAACAGCTCTGTAAAAGATGTTGCTTCAAGTGTGAAGATTTTAAAACCTCCCACCTGAAACAGAAGTCTGACAGGAAAATGATGGCATAGTTAAATTTGGAAGAGAAAGGCAGTATGTGTGTTGGTGCCCTTGGGAGTCTGTGTTTGGGAATGCCAACAAACTTATCAAATTTCCTTCAGAATCTTCTCAAAAAACTGTCAGCATCCTCAACAGAAATAAACACAAGCTGTAGGCGTGCAACTCTCTATAACACCACATTGTGAGCGGTTCACGGTCAGATGCTCTTCCATCCATAACAAACACAAGGCTTTCTCTTATCCTTGGCTCTGTTCCGAAAATTCTGACCTATCCAGGAAAAGTAAGAGCGAGATATAGCTGGATAGTATAGCGGTGGCTGTGCTTTGATGTCATAATGTGAGCAAAGACAGACTGTGAAGCAGGTGCAGTCTGTGGGGTTTCAAGCCCATTTACTTCCCCTATTCAAACGCACACATGCAGACGGAGCCAAAAACAAGACCTTCTACCTGTCTAGAGCAGCTTGTTTAAAGCTATGAGCCCTTTGGGGACATTTTCTTCTTCTAAAGTGCCCTCAAAAAAAAAAAAAAGAGAGAGAGAGAAAAAAAAAAACAAGGACTCAAGGACCTTAATTGCACACCTTCTGTTACTGGCTACTCTGAATAAATGCCCAACTACTAGCACTGTGCTTTATTGTAAGAGGCTTATACACTCACCAGCCACTTTTCTTTTAGGCTGAACCAAGGTGTACCTTGCTAGAACTGGATTGGACCTTCTTTTGCCTTCAGAATTTCATTATTTCTTGTCCTGAAGTGGCACTGCAAACCTTTCTCAGAGATTTGGTTTATGCTGACATGATGGCCTAAAACAAATCGCTGCAGATTTGACTGCCGAACATCCATGATGTAAATCTACTGCTCTAGCACGTTTCAAAATTGCTCTTTTGGATTGAAATCATGAGACTTTAGAGTTTGTTTGAGTATAGTGAGCTCATTATGTTCAAGAAACCAGCTTGATATGATTTGATCTTTGTGGCATGGAGTGTTATCCTGCTTGAAGTGGTATGGTACAGTATGGGTCAGTACGTTTTTATGTTGTTTTCTACTGTCAAAAAGTACCTAAAAGTGAACCGCATTGTACCACTTTTTGAGTACCTTTTTCCAAAGGATACCATGCACAACAATAGGATACCAAAAGGCGGAGCTAGACCCGCAGCTGAACGCTATTAGTTTACAGACAAATGTCACTATCGCATGCATAAGCGAGGAGAATAAAAACAAAGCAAATGCCATTTTTAAATACACAGCCGAGACATTACATTGTCATGATATATACGTATAATAATGATCCGTGGTTAACCTGAGCTCAAACAAACTTTGATTAACAAGAGGTTATGTTCTGGTGAAAATTAAAGATACAGAAGACACAGAACTCAAATTAGGACTAAATGTATGCTGTGATGGGTGAAGCCGTGGTGAAGTAGGTAGTGCTGTCGCCTCACAGCAAAAAGATTGCTGGGTCGCTGGTTTGAGGCTTGGCTTAGTTGGCGTTTCTGTGTGGAGTGTGCATGTTCTCCCTCTGGGTGCTCCGGTCTCCCCCCCCAGTCCAAAGACATGCGGTACAGGGAAATTGGGTAAGCTAAATTGTCCGTAGTATATGAGTGTGTGTGTGAATGTGTGTGTGGATGTTTCCCAGAGATGGGTTGTGTCTGGAAGGGCATCCGCTGCGTAAAAACCTGCTGGATAAGTTGGCGGTTCATTCCGCTGTGGCGACCCTGGATTAATAAAGGAACTAAGTCGACAAGAAAATGAATGAAGGAATGTATGCTGTAAGTAGTTTATCTGTAATTAGTCACATATCAGAGACTGTAAGGGTCTGTATGTGTATATATATTTTGCATATCTTTATTTATTTTATATAATAGCAGACGTTGTAGTAGTCTATTTTACACTGTCATTGATCTGCAGCTATAATCAAATCATGTTCATAAAAAGGCTAATAATGAACATTTATACACAAGTGTTTACAGTATGTGCATAAAGCATCTGTTTTGTGTGAAGTGACCCAAACAGCTTTACTTTGACAATTCCAGAAGAGAGAATGACATCGATTGAAACTTTCTGTAGCACACCACGCACATCAAAAGGGCACCATTGGCAGTGAAATGCAAGCCTGATACAGGTGACCCGTACCATACAGTACCATACTACATATGAGATAGACATGGTCAGCAACAATATTTAGGCATATTGTGGTATTTAAATGGTAATTAAAGCCCAAAACACATTTTTTAAATTATATGCTCAAGTAAAAATTATTTATTTATTTTTTATTTTATTTTGTATTTGTAGAGTAAATTGTGTTTTGAAAGCAATTTTAAAGCAATGTCATGAGACATGAGGTAAAAGCATAAATTTGAAGTGTGGTAATTGGGATGGATCAGAAAAGGTCAGCAACCTGGGATTCAAAGTCAAAGTCAGCACTGACTAGGGTGACCTGGCGATGGTGTATCCCATGTTTTGCCAATCTACCTTAAAATGAAATAAAATTAAATTAAATTAACATATATACTGGTCAACATATACTGGTCTTTCTGGTCAGTACAATTTTTAAAATAAGCTTATCCTGCTCACAAAGGCTGGATTTTTAAAATCAAAATACAGTAAAAATTGTAAAAATCTAAAATGTTATTGCACTTTAACTAATAACTGTTCAAAAGTAATCATTTAATTAATTAATTTATTACAGCGAATTTAAACATGAATTTTCAGATTCATTACTCCAATCTTCAGAATCACACGATCCTTCAGAAAACACTGTAATATGTATTAATATTATTATTATTATTATTATTATTATTATTATTATTAGGTAATACTTTATTTTGATGGTCCATTTGAGTATTAGTAGACTGTCTGCTTAATATCTGTTGATATTGGTTCTTTAACAGACATTTAACTGACAATAAGAAACTTTGCATACATCTCAACTTACACTAACCCTAACCCAACGCTAACAGTCTACTTATAATTTAATGAGAATTAGTT